AATCCTTTGACGCTTAGCATTCAGTTCGTTGCTCGTTTTTTATGACAATTTAAAAAAAAAAAGAAAAAAACGAAAATGCTAGTTACAGCAACTATTATATCGATTTTCTATACAATATTTTCAATACTGCAACATGTTTTTTTTTTATCTTTCTATAATTTTTCGGGATTTTAGTGCGAAACGAATATATTACTGACTCTTATATATATATTATTTATTTTCCATATTTCCCCAAACATCACTCTTACCTATCTAGAAAAAAACAATATTTTATTTATTAACTTAAAGATTAAATTTCAGCCTACGTCGCAATATTTGCCCTGTCGAATGGAAAGTAACATCGCGCGAACAACCTCGGATGGATAACGTGAAATGTTTGCCGTGGAGATAAAGGACGAGAGGGGCTGCTGCATTGACTTTCTCACCCTCGAATCGCGGTTCTTAGCGCGGGTGGATGAATTTGTGTGTTTGCCTGGATTATTGGAAAGCCAATAATGGCATGGGCGTTTACGCGCAGTGCAAATAGCTCTTTAGACGCTTCTCTCTCTCTCGTTCTCGCTCGTTCTCGCTCGTCGACACTAATTTATCCAGCTGCATAAATATAGCGAGTACACATGTAATAAATATATGCATCTTTTTATATATTTATTTACATCACGTGGTTGATCGCTATACAATTGGAGATAAACAGTTTTATATGTATAATTATGTGTATGATACAAATTAATTAATCGTACGGATCAAATATGCTTTATATATGTCTCGAGAAATTTACAAGGCAAATGTACAGTGACTCACAAAAGCGATTAAATATTAATATACTATTTATAAATTAAACAAACGTCTCGCTCGCACAATGTCGCCACTACGTAAGTAGCGTAATAAATTATATCATATTTAATTAAATAATACGTGTATATAATATTATTTAATTAAATACGTACACAAATGAATGCGAGCGAAAGAAAAGCATCCGTGAGCCCCTGTAACATTCAATCCGACGTTAATTGCAAACTATATTAGCGCGATATAACAGTTCCCACGAGGTTGCATATAGTCGAACGAGTGCTAACGTGAGGTCTGCGCGGAGAGCAGCCGCGGATTCGTTTAAAATTACATTCTGCAAACGATTCGACCGGAGTGGTGCCTTTTGCCCCGGGCTGGACTTAGCCCCATCTGCCGAAACACGTGCCCCGGACAAAGCAGACGGATTTTGGAACAACGTTTCGAGCGGGACCAGCAAAATCCGTTCGCTAAAAGTATATGCACCTATATTGCCTGCATACCGTCGTCGCCGGGATCCCAGATTCCAGATCCCCTCTCGACTATGTCAATTCCCGTTGATCCTTCCCACTTAAAAATCGTCTCGCCCGGCTCGCCAAAACTCCAAAGCAGTTCTTTCTGCGTGTCTCGACGAACTTACGCTTTATGTCTTATGAGTGACCCTTTTTTTTATGTCTTATTTATAAGTCGCAATGACTTATGAGTCTTATGAGTGACCCTTTTTTAAGTCGCAGGAATCTTCTAGTTCGCGAAATCCTACATTCCTGCAGTTATATCTTGAAATTCGTGCGATTGTCGCGTTTCGAAACCCAAATTTTTCTACCGCCAAATTTTGACCTGCAGAATGTTTATTTACGGAATATTTTACCATCCCTTGAGTTTCCAGGATTTTCAGGGTCTCCGATAGACCACTTCAATCATTTTCGTTCCATTGTCTGTCGACAGTTTTTTCATGAATGCGGTTTATGAAGTGGCTTATGCAGAAACTTGAGAGAACACGGATACGCGGTCAAAGGATGTTGAACATGTTGTGTTTTTTCTTGGGGTCGTTCCTTTTACACGATCTGTTCGCCTAATCATCGTTTCAGTTCCCAATGTCTACATCATTATGTTAACGTATAATTACGGTCGTGAGGGTATTTCGGTGCTCGATATCCGGTCGGCCACAATGCGCCCTCGCCGTTGACGGGATAACGGATTCTCGGATCGTTACCAAAATTAATATTTCTCGTCGAGCAATACAGATCGGGAACACGCGGACGGATCAGGCGGATGCGCGACGCGTAAGATCCGCGCGATCGCCGTAAATCCCGCGGCGCGGAAAAGACGAAATGCCGATTCGGTTTGGTTGGACGCCGCTGGTGCGGCATAAACGTTTCCGCTCTCGTGTTACGAGACGCGACATTAATCTATCGAGGATTCCGCGAAACTCAGCTCTGTCATTTTCCTCGCCAACAATTTCGCTACGGATTTTACGCGGAAATGTCTGGGGCTGCTCGTTTATCACGAAGAATGTAAACATGGGATTAATGTGAGAAATTAATTATGTAGAATTATGTGTCGGAAAATATATAGCGGTATGCAGGTGAAACGTTATTTTTAACAAGATATTAACGGAAAATCTTGCAGAAGGGAATATCGTGGGGATCCAATAAAGAAAAATGTCGGCTTTACGGATATCACGCGAATGAATTGAGTCTCATTTGAAGTTTTTAATAATTTTGTTCTGTTTTTAATATTCGTATGCCTTGCGTAGGTATATTCATAACAATGCGTATTTCGTCGATACGCGCGACCAATTTTCCTTTATTCTTTTAACATCCTTTGTTTTCAAAACGTGCACAAGTACAAATTATTTAATGATAAATATAAATATAAAACGATAAACGCGGGCGAGCAAAATTGCAACGATGGGTGGTCGGCCGCCGCGATGCAACAATTAAACATCGAATTATTTTCACGTCTACTTAGCTTATTTTCACAGCGCGGTGATCAATATTTCCGTCGGTAGTTTCGCCGATAAGTACAAATATAAAAACATATTTCGCGTCCAAACACGAAATGTCGCACGAGCGGCAGGTAATAAACATTCGCGTTTTCACTAATAATACTTTCATAAGTGCACGCCGTGCAAACAACATGGTGATGCGCGTGATGCAAAAATGGATTTCGTGGCGGGGTGTGAAAGAGAGGCGAAACATCATTCGAGATTTTTTTCCGTTTATTTCGTAGGTGTGTGTCTTACGTACTGATACGTAATAGCGTACTGATAATAATATTAATATCAATATGTTCCGCACGTATAAGTATATACATGCACATATGTGGTTTTATATATATATATATACGTCATATATACACAAGATATTGTATATGTATACATACAGATTTGTTCTATTTATTTTATCTATGCTGCTTCATTCTTCGTAATAATATACACGCAGATTCGAGCATTATTAACGCTAATTATTATTCACATGATCCGTGTTTAAAATCAATAAATATACCTATGTATATTATATACATATATATATATATATATAAATATACTTCTATATATATTATATATATACATATATATACATATATAATTATCTTAATTCTCTCTTTCATCGAATACCGCACGAATCTCCGGCACCGAGGAAGGTTATCACGTGATTAAATGCACAAGGACGCGATGCAATTTTGCGAAGAAAGTACAATATCTCACTAATCGCTAAAGCTATTATTCTTTTTACAATACTTTTCGTCGCCTTCCATCGTCGTGACAACTTCAAACATTCCTTTGGAGGTGAAGCGACTGAAGCGCACAATAAATTTTCATCGCCGCGACATTGAAAACTTAGGAGATTACAATTAATTTTTCTCGGCGCGTACTATATACATTGTTATGCTAATTTCGCACCTCTATCGGGACGCTTGAAATCGCGATAATTATCACCTTTCGCGATTTCCGTCGATTAAAATGTTCGCGTTAAAATTTACCGGGGTATCTTAATTTGCAATCAATCGCGAGCGTATGTTTCCGTTAAAGCAAGTATAAATAAATACAGGAAGTTACATTGCATACTGCCGAAGTGATTGTTAGATAGTAGTGAGTCGCTATTAAACGTTAATATAAGAGGAATTCCCGCGGACTCTGCATTCTAAAATATTAAAACGTTAGTTTCTATTTACGTTAAAACAACCTATCAATATATTCCAATATATATATATATATCCGTTTGTTCCCCGAAGCTGCTCGCGTGACTCGTTTATTCGTCATGCGTCCGACGATATAGCGTCGCATTAAATGCGAAAATTCTGGGACCGCTCGTTCGGAAATAATCACGGCCACTGTGCAAAAAAAGCGGACATTTCGAGATCGGGAAATACTCGATGCAAAACGCGCCGCGCAAAGCAAACAATGACTTTTTTCAACCCGTTCCAAGGGCATTCTGGCGGAAGGAGCGGAAACGCGTGCAAACGCGGTCGCATTTGTGGAATATCGGAATAACGTGATTCGACGCCGTGATGCGAGTCACGCGAAAGATCGCGAGCCGAACGATCTGAGACGATGATTCCGACGTGTCCTTATCTATCGGAAACAGACGGTCGGCGGAGACGTCTTGGTATTTTCGCGCGATTTACGGTGGTTTGCATTTGCACAGATGGCCGCGAAAACGGCGACGGCCGAAGTAAGAAAAAATTAATCAGGTAGGTCAGCGACCGGTCTCGCGATGTTTGCGTAGATGGGAGCGATTACGCTGAAATTCGCATTTATTTCCTCGTCCCGGACGTTCACTCGCGTATCATTCATTAAAGCGAAGCTTTTGACTGAAATAAGGAGAACCATCTCGCACGTGATTATTGAGTTTACAATGCTGTTGAAAATGGCAAATCATCTTTCAGCGTACGAAAACAAGAAAAGTCACCGATCAAAATTATAGATTCGGAATTGTTTTAAATTTGATTAAAATTAGGATTGAAACTGTTTTTCTTCACTTGTTGACTTTTTTCGCTAAGAAAGATCCTAACTTAGATCGAAATGTTCATTTAATATATTAAAACCATCAGAGTTACTCGATTAATTTCGTGACACAAATTGAATTTTTTCTTCTTCGCGCACTGATTTCTATGTCCTGCCTAACGCCCCTCCTTTAACTTTTATAAACATGTATTTCAGAGTCTAATATTCTTTTAAAAAATTTTTTTCTTTCTCATACACGCACATTTTAATATACATTATACATCGCGCTGGAATCTATGGATTTTAATTATTCTGGTTTTACATAGTCTTCGAAATTTTTTAACCTTTTTCATTGCGAATCTAATTTAATCGGACATCTCAATTTTTTAACGCTTACAAAAAATCTGCTGTTTAACAAATGTTTTTCACGAATATAAATTTAATAGACGGTTACAAATATTACATATAATGCAGAATAATGAAGAAGATCGGTACCGTGGGTCCGTTTGATGTATACCCCCACAAAGAGATTTCGGCAGAAATTAGAAGTTAGCCCGAGGGCTGCTCGTCGATTAACGACGCCCTTGGCAGACATTCGTGATTCATTACGTTAATTGTCGCATTAGTTAATCGCCTATGTACGGATGATTCTGTGTGACACGAGGGTTCGACCCGATACGGGAAACTAGATTTTTACCAGAGCTCGTTACGACCCGTCTAGTTCCATTCCTTGGCGAGCTCGTCCGTCGTGGGTATCCACTCTTGCTTCACGTAAATCAAGCCTGGATCATAGTGATCGCCGTGGTGCTCTTCAAGGCTCCGCTGATGGGACCTTGAATTCCGATATTCTCAGTACTTCTGCAACGTTATCGGTAGATTGCCACTGGTGTTGACGGCGTTACAGTCTTGGTAATATCTGTGGTATAGCGGCGGGGACGCGCTTGTCGAAAGCGGCGTCGGCGGGCTGGACCTACGATAGATCAGACCGTGACTGATTGAGTCTGAAGACTCAACTCTCTTCTGTAATTTTATCTATTGTCTACATTGTCAACAATTTCAAAAAAGAGAATCTAACACGCCACTATTCTTGGTAGCAAATACTGTGACTATTTTTTTTCTGTATTAACGTGTCATCCATTCGAAGATAGTTGTACGTTACAGTAGACGTTTCGTTATCATAAGGATATAATGACAAAATATTGTGTAACATGATAAAATAAAAGTATAATATCCTCGTGGGTAGCGTGTTGAATGGCACACTTTTTACTTTACATTGTTATCTAGATGCTCATGTTATTTAAAATTTTATATTAAAGATGGCATTTTATATATCATAAAATTCTATGAAAAATTCACGTCATTTGTTCTTCGTAGAGAAATAGATTTTGCATCTATTGATCGTACGAACACAAGATTTCCATCGTCGAATTGGAATTTCGAGACGAGCGTCAAGCGTTTTCTCGACCGACGGAAAACGGTCTAGGTACTCGTTCTAGTACTCATTCTGGTACTCGTACCTGTAAAGCTGACAGCTCGGGGATTGGGTGTCCTGATAGATCGCGGTATCGGGACTGGCGTCCTGATACCACTGCGAGTGGCCCACGGCGTTGCTCGCGTGATTCCGCGCCGTGTTGTACTCGTGGTCCATGATGGCGTATCCGGCGGCCGCCGGTGCGCAGTACGGCGTGTACATGGTGCCGGGCGGTGAGGCGTTGCCCCTGGAAACGGTGCTGGTGTGCCCGTAGCCGGTGGTGGCCATCATCGCCGCTACCGCGGCCGTCGTGGTAGTCGTGGTAGTGCCTGTGGACGATAGGTCCCTGCTGCCGGTGCCCATGGACTCCCTGCTGCTCATGATCGAGTGCGGATGCTGGAGCCCGTGCGGATGGTGCGAGTGGTGCTGGTTGTCGCGCGTCATCATCGCGCTGTTCTCCCGCGTCGTCATCAGCGCGTCGACGCTGAAACTGGTTGGATCCAGGCCGGCCATCGACACGTCTTGGATCGACTCCTGGTGCACCTGATGCGCCTGATGCACCTGATGACCCAGGGCGGTTTGGATGACGCTCTGACCGGGTGCGACCGTCGCCGTCGTCGTCTTGTCCTCTTGTATCGGGCTGTGCAGGCCGTATTTGCTAGCTTGAACCACCGCGGCTGCAGCCGCCGCCGCCGCCATGCAATGGTTATCGTTGACCGGTTCTCGCTTGGGCTTACACAGGACGGTGGCAGCCTCCAAAGCGCTCAGCTTTTTCGTCGGAGTGTCCGATGGCGGCGGCAACGTAACCTGACTGCTGCCGGACTTGACGTCTTCCTGACGTTTCTCCGGTAGGATTCCCTGCCGTTTCAGCGCCTCCTCCTTCTCCTTCAGCGCGTCCTTCTTCTTGAAACGTCTGCGGCGTCTCAGGTAAGAACCATTGTCAAACATGTTATAGCTATCCGGATCTAGGGACCAGTAACTCCCCTTACCGGGTTTTTTATCGTCCCGTGGCACTTTTACGAAGCATTCGTTCAGGCTAAGGTTGTGTCGGATGGAATTCTGCCAGCCCTGCTTGTTCTCGCGATAGTACGGGAAACGGTCCATGATGAACTGATAGATGCCGTTCAGGGTAATCTTCTTGTCGGGCGCGTTCTGGATGGCCATCGCAATCAACGCGATGTACGAGTAAGGTGGCTTTACCATATCTTTGCCAGCGTGATGAATGTGCTGTTGGCCGATACCCGACACTGGGTATCCTGTAGCCGTCGCGTAGCCGCCGTACCGATACTGCTCGTAATAACTCCCGGGAGCGCCCACCGTCGGGTACGACGGCGCGCCCATGCCCATCGGCACCGTCGCCGCGTGCCGATAGTACGCATTCTGCTCGCTGAAGAGCGTGTGCATCTTCGCGCACCCGCTCTCGGTACGATCCACGGACGACGATCGCGATCGAAACACTTTGTTCTGATTGGAGCAAAGGGGTAATTGTTCTCTCTACAATAACGTCACTATTCCTCCAGAGGCGATCCTGTAAAACACATGTTTCTCGAAGCCGTTGTTAGCGTCTGATTCACACAATTGTTATTCTTCGTGGATGTTATATAAAGGGAGTGTCGCTTTCTCGTTATATTTGGAAGTGACACTTGTATTTAAAATCTTATTTTACACAGTCTTTTATTTTCTATTCTATTGTCCATCACTTTTCGCTCCGAATTATTTTCTCTTGAAATTCTGAACTGATTTTTAGATAGCGGTTATATTTTCTTTCTTTTTCGAATTATAAGCCACTTTTGTAGTCTTTCTTCTCAATTCACTATAGATAGAAAATCATAATCGTTAATCTATTAAAATATATAAATAAGAAATAACGTGTTCCTTGAACGTTAAAAGTTTATTCTAAGAGTGTGCCATTATTTTTCCAAGTTATATTTTTCTGCATTTATTCTGTGTTATCATTAAGTCCTCTCTTCGCGCGGTATTAATTCCACTCGTATCACTTATCGGACAAGTATTAAATATTCTGAATCGATGTAATTGTCTTCCTTAATTTTTCAATCGAACGTTATTTTCATGAATCGTTGCCGTGGTAAAACTCGCGTGTTCGCACTATCACTCATCTGTCGCTTGGAGCACTTGGAGCGCCGTCACTGTACCACCGCGGACCACGCAATGTGACAGATCGATAGATCTCTAATGAACGATCACGCTCATGAGATATCCCGAAAAACACGTACCGCGTCGTCGTTCATGGAGTCTGCGACGCGTCCCGCTGCTGCGTGATAGTATTTTGTTGACCGTATCCCAAAAATCTCATCATCTTCTCATCTCAGACACGGAAGACGGACGGATATGCGAGGCCTCGGTGAAGACAGGAGGCGAAGGTGCATTCAGTTGAACAGTGCGACTCGGCCGCTAGCGCGAGGACGCACGCTAACCCCGTTAGCACCCGCGTGTGCACGCTACGGTATTATGATACACAACAGGCCGGAGTTTACTCAACCCCGAGTAAAAACACACTGGGAGCTCGGCGTCGCGCGCGGAACGGAGTGCTCGGCGCGGCCGGAGGACGGCTGCGCCGTTCGTGCGTCTTCGAAAAATCACGAGGTTTCCTATACACGTCGCACCACACTATTGGCCGTTCGGCAGCGGAGCCGCGCGTGATTCCGCCCACACTGCAGGACCAATCCGCTCGGAGCGGCGAACGCTCTTACGAACGACCGCCCTGAATATGATCCTGCCAATAATCGCGACGTAGTCGCTCGCGTGGTCACGCCCTCGTCACCTCGCGCAAGGGCTCAGGAGGGCCGCCGCGCCGGCCGTGAGCCGTGACCAGCCGTGCCGTACGCCGCGATGCGGAATTTTTCCGCGGCCATCGGCCGTCGGATACTTTTCGCGATACCAAGCACGGACAACGAGCACGAGGATTAAGGTGGTGATCTCGGTGGACCTTGCCCGGAAGAGCGGAAACGGCGGAAGCGAGTGATAGTTGCATGCGCGCGGTGCGCGGTGCCTTATTAGCCAGAAATTGAGAAAGTGTCCAGAATGTTTAGGGTGACAGTGACAATAATGGTCTCAGACGACCGTGCGTGCGATTGAGGTTTCATGCGGCACTCAAGGAAAACGAGCGATACACGTTATCGCGTAACGGAGATGCTTATTTCATCAAGTATTTCGAAATTTTTAAATTTTTTTCTTAAAACACACCAATGGCGAAATCAGATTAAATTCGAAGATAGCATTGATATGTTACGTGTGAGATTCATCGATTGTGAAGTATTTTTATGTTCTTGTTATACGATGCAGCTCATCGTAGTTCCGCGAAAGTGCTTTATGAATATTGAAAGAGTTAAAAATTTATCCTTCAAAAGCTGTTTATGGGTCATTTTAGACTCGTTGCAAAGTTTACTAACTTCTAATTAAAAAAGATATTATTTTTTTATCCTCAATATTTCTTGTTTTTATTTCTATAACGTAATATAGTTTATTTCCAAAATTTGGATTTTTTTAAATGGCAAATATTATTACAATAACGTGCATTACACGTGGATCAATTTGGCTTTAGCGTAAAATCAGTTTCAATAACCTATAAAGGCTGTTATTATAGGATATAGCAGTCCATATTCATATTTCGTATTTAACGTTAAAACTGTTCAACTCGAGATAACATTTGCACGAGTTTGATATGATACAAATGAAAGAAACGATAATTTAGCGTTAAACGCAAGTTACGCGCGCGCACGCAGATACAGGAGCTATATTTAAACGAGTTCTGCGAAATATTTTAATTGAGATGCCAATTACAAAACATGTGCTTAACATAAGTCTTCATTTTTTAATTGATTAGAACATGATTTAAAATCAACAATAGAAACTTTTATATATATTTTACAAAAAATTATTGTAAAAATTTACCCTAAAATAATTTTAGATATATCCTAGACAAATAATTGAAAAAAAGTATATAATCTTATTCTTTTTAAACGCCAATAAAGTTTAATAATTTACTTTAGTAATTTACTACTTCTTCGTATATTTAAAGCAATCCACGGCAAATGTTAAATATCATATAATTTGCAAATTTATGCAACCAAGAAACTCGATGAGGACGTTGAGGACGTCACGACGATAATGTCACGTGGAATAGATGGAAAAGAGGCAGCCTCGCGTTCTTGCAGCACGACACTTTCAATTTAGCGTCTGTTTTTCCAAGGGTTCGACTCCCGCCTTGCGAAAACACTCGACAGGACACGTCGCCACCCTCCATTTCTCGCCACCAAGTTTCCGCCTCCGTCCGAATCGCGCTATCCAGGTTCTCAAAATACCTTCGATCCTTCCAGACGTTCTACTTTCCGCCATTTAAATTGATTCGACGCAAATACTGAGTCTGTTATCGAAATCAAGTTGTGCACAAACTGAGAATAAATTCGCCGTCGAAAACGATTCATCTAACGTGCTTATACATATAATTGTCTTCATACATATACTTATAGTGTATGTATAATTTTAATAATATATATTAATAAAGAAAAATGGCAAGTATTCATGCATATAAAAATTCTTAATAAAAATATAATTTGAAATAAGATATGTATGTATTATACGTATGTCTTTACGATATTTTTATAGATCCTTAAATCCATATAAGATCTCACTATATAAATTTACAAGCATTTAAGTATAATAATATTCAATTTTGCTTGTTTTAACAAACTTTTCGTTTAGAACATATAGAATATATATCATTCTAAATGGCATATATTATATGTAGTACATATTATGTACTACGTATCAATAAATACATATCAATAACTACGTACTCCGTTTCAATAAGTTACGACTCTTTATTGCACGTTGTGTATAAAAACGCGCAAAGAGCAATTTTTCATTCGCCCGATCGCGTTATCGTATATATTTTCTTGAGTTGCGCGCGAGTGTCAAATTGATCATCGCCTCTATACCAGGCGACCAGAGGCGGCTAATTTTCATTTAAATGAAACGACAAGCGAGCGCTGTAGGCATCCCACCTCCAGATCCACGCGATCTCTTTCCCTTGCCCGCGGGCTAACTGCCGCAAAACCAAGATGCAAAACGTTCTGGAAGTTCTGGCGAAAGTTTAATTGTCTTTTGCTTGCGTTCTATCTAGGATTCCGCACCAACGAGACGACGTGCTCCTGTAGCACAATTTATAATCCGCCCGATAAGATCAAAATTCGCTGTCTCATATATATTCCGGATATGGCAACCTGTTTTCCGTTTTTCTCTTTCGCGTTATTACAAATCATGTTGCACAATAATTTATCAAGAGAGAATGTTATATTAAATTATGTCTGAAGAGAAGAAATAAAAATCACCGTTTGTACTGGTTGACAGATTCCTAAACTAATCAATCACAGATTTTCCAGTTCATTGAAATTCAATGCACCATATTATCTGATCATCGCAAACAATCGATCAGGCTATATCTGCAATATTCGAGAAGGCCGGATTTACTTAGCCGACGTTAAACTTAATAAGATCGCTTCATGAAGCGGAGTTTGTTCGTAATCGGGATCAGCGTCGATTCTACGTAGGGCGTACACGAGTGATTTGCATATTTGTTATCGCCCCGGGGCTCGAAATCGATTAAACGGGCGGAACTAAAATTAATTATTGAAATAATTATCGGCTTCCAACCGTGGCGTCGTCATTAAAGCTATAGACTGACTCCCGAGATATCATTAAAAAAGGGTACAACTTTTGAGCGTTTTCGTGACCGCTCGGGGATCGTTTTATTCCTTATACATTTTCTTATGTATTTTTCTTCGTAGAAACCGAAAAAAATTATTATTATAATAACGCCAGCCAAAATTGTTAACTTTACCACTGCAATCAGTCCCAAGTCCGAGTGAAAAGAAGGAGAGGGCATCTCCTTAGTCATTTTTTTCAAATAAGACAATTTTTATTTGCTCTCAATTATCAATATATTATATTCGATATAAATCGAATCTAGAAATACAAAATGATTCGTAAGAGGATTAGTTGGAAAGCAATAATTGATGTATTATCGTAGTGTCAAGTTTCTATGTTTCTCATCATAGCATTATTTTTGTAACAAAGAGTTATAGTGAAAAATATAATGTAATTAACATTTTGCGACGTGCAACATTACTTGCATTTGGTCGCTCTTTAAATTAATTTTTAAATTTATTGATGCGTATAACTGACAGCGATTTCATAACAATGCGAATATGAAATTTTATTCACTTTATTTCAATGTAACAATTTTTCCTCAAAGCTGGCGTTATTATAATGATCTTTTTCGGTTTTTTCGAAGGAAAATACATAAGAAAATGTAGGAATAAAACAATTCCCGAGCGGTCACAAAAACGCCCAAAAATTGTACCCTCCTTTGCGACACGAACAATTTTAAACGCGCATTTAACGGCACTAATACACAAATGGTCATTTTGCAAGCTCGAGTTGCTCGACATTTTAACACATGGCGCGAACGGTAACATGTGGATTGTTTTGTTAACTTTTACTTGTTTACGCCCACGCGCAGCTACGTTTTTCGCACTATCGTCCAGGACGCGCATGAATTCATTGTACGAGATGTATTTTACACTATTTATTTACTATTTGAATCCTGACTGCTTGAAAAAAAATACATCAGCGCAGATTTTTAATATCAATCGCGCGATCGATTTTCAAGTAATATAAACAGAAGTGTTCCCTTGTAATGAACTCTGAATAGAAACTTGATAGACAAAAATGATGAAATCCCTCGTACCATCTAGAATTCTAGACAGTTCGGTCAACAATCTAGACTATCTAGAGAGATGACCCGTAAGGTCGAAATAAGAAGCGAAAATTCGGAAATAATATGTTAGACGAGAATGAAGGGTATTATATCGCAAAGTATTACATCCCACACACAGACTGCCTCCTTTTTTCTCTCTCTTCTCGCGATCAAGCGGACTTCCTACGATCGAACGGATCAACAGAACGTTCATGCGACAGATTCACCAAGTGTCGGCATCGTCGCGCCGCGCTGCTGCGCCGGTCAAATCCTCCGTCGCGCGTGGCATGCTAATCGCGTGGACGCGGACGCGGACCTCGTCAGCTCGTCACCTCGTCATGGGAGCACCGCCGTTTAGCTTCCGTTTCATTTGGTCGGAACACAGATCGGCTGTCTAAAAGACACGAAGCAACAGCCAAGACAAACCTTAAATGCTTGCTAACCAAACAGTCGGAATTAGCCGCGTTACGCCGCCCACGAGAAACGGAGAGAGAGAGAGAGAGAGAGAGAGAGAGAGAGAGAAAGAGAGAGAAAACTGGTGCTTTCACCGTTTACTCCTCTCCACAGCTATTATCTCTCCACTGCTCCACCGCCGACCCTGCCTACCACTTTTTGACCCCCGCGCTGTTAACCATAACGAAAGTCGAAACGCGTTACGACGGAGTCGCCCGTTCCTGCGACTAGCACCTCTGCCTCTGATAACTAGATCGCGCAAAA